CTTCAGGAATAGCTGCTTCAAAATCTGGTGTTTTGCCCAGTTCAGGGACGACATCCTCCTCGGCCGCTTTATCCAGGCGAGCTTTTTTGCTCGGCCTAGGCTTGGCCCTGAAAGGAATAACAAAGTCAAATATAGCATATGTTCCAAGGTGATGTACCGGACATATTAAGATAAGTATGGCTTACCCAAGCACCGTTTTGAGTGGTGGCACCTGAGTAGCCGATGACTCGCCAGAGGATGAGTGGGAAGTAACCTGATAATCGGAGTCAGATGGATTAAGAGGTTGACGAAAACAACCCGCTTTAGGACAAGCACCGACAAGCAAATTAGAGACCTCTGAACGGCGTTTCTGAACCGGACTGTTCGGTAAACCGATGGAGGTAACTACCTGGCCGCTGTGCCGGGTTGTGCGGCGAGCTTCGTGCTGTTGGGTCTTCATAAAAAATTTGGGATCCAAATAAGCAAGAGGATGAGAAAATTTAACTTTCCGGTTTGCCTGACGAATTTTTAGTGAAGGCAAAGGTTCTGAATCGGAAGAGAGAATAATTACCTCTGCAGCATCAGCATGGCTGGCTTCGACATCATCCTGACAAATATCACCATCAATAAAATGCATGAAAAATAAGCCAAGTGAGTCAAGCCCTACCTCAAGGTCCGGATTATCCACATCATCATCAGGGGCCGAATTAGAGGATGCAGTGGTTCTTTTCCTGTGGGCAGTCTTCTTCACAACTTTAGTCTTTTGCCGGGTTGATCTTTCCGGTTTGTCTGGTTTTTCTGGTTTCTCCTGCGGCAGTTTCTTGCTCCAAAACGGATCATTGCCCTGGTTACACAGACACTGATATTAAACAATGACCAGGTATATCAATAACAGGTTCAGCAAAAAGAAAAATCAAACTCTTACAGTTGGCGGTTTGTTGGTGGCACAGAAGGGAAGCAGGCCGGTTTTAGCACAGATGTGTTCCGGTTCATTCAGCATCTTGTTCACAGCCTCTGTGATTTCTTCGTCGGTGAGCTGGATGTTAGCATGTCGCAGTGGGTCATCAACACTGCCAGTATACTCGCACATCAAACCGGAGCGCTGACTAAGGGGTAGTATGCTCCATGATATCCAACAGCGAGCGAGATCAACCCCTGTTAAACCGTTGGCCATAAAGGCTCTGAGCTTGGATAGTTGAGGAGCGTATTTGCTTCTCTTCTTGGCAGTCAACCTTTGCGGAAAGGGGTGTGTATTGCTAAGCCGCTCTGGACAAAAGCCAGGCAAAGGATTTTCACCAGCAGGGGAGGTGTCTTTGCAATAGAATCATGTTTGATTCCACTCTTTGGGGTGGCTATGCAGTTTGGCATGAGGGTATGTGACCTCTTTCCTTTTCTGAATCGCTACACCGCCCAATTCCGTATTGGGACCATCAGAAAACTCAATACGGCGGTTTAGATGGAAACAGTCTCTAAACAACTCCACTATGGGCTCCTCTTGAAAGAACGCCTCACAGAGCACTTGGAAGTGACACATGTTTGTAACAGAGTTGGGACCAGTGTCTTGTGGGTGGAGTTGAAAATCGGCTAAAACGTCCCGGTAAAATTTAGAACCGGGCGGTTTAAAGCCCCGGGCTAAGTGATCTACGAAAAGGATGACCTCTCCTTCTTGAGGTGTGGGAGGGCATTCTTTGCCAGAAACCCTCCAATGGATGGTATCTTTGCTGCCTAAGGCGCCGATCAGGACTAAATCGTCCAGTTGAGCCTCTGTGACGCGAGAAGGAACCCAGTTGCACTCATATACTTGCTTGGCAATGATGAAATCTACAAGGTAGGTGATCCCGGCTCAAAAATGCATTGATTAAGGTACATTGGTATGTGCAATGTTAAACCAGAGACAGATCTATCTAAACCGGAGTTTTATGAAGCAACAACATCTGGCGGTTCAACAAGGGGACTAATGGTATATACCGGTTTGGCAATTTTTTCTACAAAGTTAAACCGCCTGGTCTAAACATTGAAGCAGATGAGTAAGTTTACAGAAACAGATTTCATAAGACTTCTCTACAGCGACGGATCTGAAGCAAGTTCAGAAAATAAGGAAAATATTCAAGGTTCAAAAAAGAACAGTACTGAATCAATGGGCAGAGATACATATAGATCTATGGTCTTGAGGCATGAAACTGAAAGCAGATGCTAAAAACTACCGCTACACAGAGTAAGGATTCACAGATGCATCTAGGAGTTATCGTATGAACACGAAACAGGCGATGAACACTAGAAGAACATGAAACCCTAGAGCAGATCTGTGTTGAAAAGAATAGAAGACTTACTGGAGATGAGAAAGACGCGGAAGGTTGCCGCGGTGCTCTGGTGCGCTCAGGTTGATGCAGCGGCCAAGGTTGATGCAGAGGTTAACGGTGGCGGCGGAGCTCCGAAGCTGGGCGACGCGAGGAAGACGAAGCACAAGGGCACGAAGGGGAAAAAGAAATGACCCTTCGGTCCTATTTATAAGGCAAGGGACAGGAGTCAGGCGCGAAAATCAAGGGACCGTGGGTTTGGAAACGAAGATGTCGCCTTAATTGTCGCAGACCTATTAAGGTCCTTTATAATAGGTGACGTCACGCCGGTTTACAACGACCAGAGAAGATGACATCACGGCGGTTCAACAAACTACAAGAAGATATTGAAGATGAAGATTTTTGCTAAAGGATTGACATGAACATGTTCAAATCAATCTGGGGCCTAATGTTGGAGATATCACTACTGGGCGTAAACCGGCCTATCTGGGCCGGGTTAACTTCGTCGGTAGTTAAGTATGTTAAAGCCCAAGAAGGCAGATGAGGGCTCAAGGCCCATAGTCGGTTCAAGGCCTGTAGCCGTAAACCGGCGTTGGTATTTAACTTGTATTGTAAGTTAGGAATAAGTAGAGACCAAACCGGACACATCTATGAACCGGTATTGGGACTCTGTGAACCGACGGGCGTCACCCGTGTATATAAGGGGACGACCCGGCGGCGGTTCAAGGACAACAGACAACAACTCGAGACATAGGCGAAGCTTGTTTGCTCCCTGGTCATCGAAACCCCATCAATTCCATCACAACTAGACGTAGGCTTTTACCTTCATCGAAGGGGCCGAACTAGTATAAACTCTCTTGCTTCCCTGTGTCCGCTTTAACCCCTTCAAGCTAACCCGTCGCGATGGCTCTACGACTAAGTCCTTTTTCTAGGACATCTGTCGTGACAAAATCACGACAGTTAGGATTGAGATACCATGACTTGCCAAATCCTACAATAAATCAGAATACAGAAATTTGCAAACATGGCTCTTTGGATGCTCCACAGGAATTTGAATAGAGATAAGGTCCATGCAAGACAGAAAGGAAAATTCCCATGAGGTAACTTCTTGCTACAAATCCTATGGAATTAGGGTGTCAGGGCAGATATCATTCCTTTGATCCAAAGGACCTGTATATAAAAAATTCCAATGCATTGGGATCCTACAAAATTCATATGAAAGTTCTTCAATCTAAAGGGGCCATAAATAAATCACACATCGGCACCACATTGCTTTGAGTCCTTTGTGATGAGTTAATAAAATGATAACAGGTACATGACAGTTCGACAGTATATGTAACTTGTTGTGGTAAGTTCTATTTTTTTGAAGCAAAGTGTTGAGCTCAATGAAGGACTCAATGGATGAAATAAACATGAAAGGGAACAAAGTAAAGTATAAAAATGTAGATTCTCACCAGCAAAAGCTAACAAGAAATCAACTTGATACACATCCAGTCAAAGACATGACTGTAATGACTGTGTAAAGCCAAATGCTTATCAGGTATCGCAGATCAATGTCTTAGCCAGATAGATTATTCTGGATGGCAATTTCTGTGCCAACCGTTCCAACATGATTGCGTACCAAGCTGCGGTACGGGGAGTGATTAGAGATGGTGCTTGTGTATCTTTTATGTACGACACACACATGATAGTAGCGCTTGGATAACCAAAAGCCTTACCATCCCGAACTGGAGCAAAGCTGACCACTGAATGGGCCTACAGAAAGGTGATAATCAAAAAAGCCTTACCATCACTTTGTACTAAATCAGCCACAACTAATATGGAATGGACGGAGTAATAATCAAGTATGTGTTGCTGTGCTGCATCATGCAGCACTGTGGCCCTAAATTCTTTTAAAACAATGTGGCCCCTGTTATTTGCAATCTATAACATATTAGTAGCAAAAAAAAAGAAGAATATTGGACATAGAACTCCAAAACCCATGCAGACCTGAACCAAATTACTGAATAACCATTTACAGAAAGTTAAGTGAATGAGCAAATGTTAGGACCTCACCTAGCTAGTAACTCCATTCATGATGACAACAACTTGTCATGCTTGTAAAGATTTTCTCTAATAATAAACTAAGCTACTATGCTAAGGTTGTTTCAAAAGTGGCTAATCTGGAGAGTTCTGACCCTAGGCCCACCAAAAGAAACTCCTCAAAGTTCTCACCAATGTCCAACAAATTCAATTTTATTTTCTATGTTTTCAAGGCGTCCAGGCGCTTTAAGGCGCTGGGGGGGCGCCTCAACGCCTAGGCGCTCAAAGCGTGAGGCGAGGCGACGCCTTAGACACTTATTATTAGGCGCTAGGGGTACTAATATGGCAGCCATGAGTGGACATGTAACTGATTCATACCTTGAATTTCCTGGTTGTTGAGCCCACATAGCATCCATTCCTCCCATCTTGTTTCCCATTTCTGCCTTCCACAATAGAAATCTGCATAAAGATGAACATATATCATATATGGTTAAAACTAAACTTAATTAATAGATCACCATTGGTAAAAAAACAGAGTAGATGACAGAGCAAGTGCAAAACATGATGACAAACATGAGTGCATTACATATTACATAAACTAAGTCCACAACACAATAATTTAGGTTCACAAGTTCACAACATAAATTTAGGTTCCAAACAGGCAAACACATGATCATAAGCAAGGCTGGCCACACTCAATTCTCAATAGCCATCATCGAACTCATCGATGGTAGTATTTGTGTTGTCTTTGCCATCTTGGTCAGCACTAGTTGGATCTTCATCATCATCGGTCACATCAACATCATCTTGAAGAAAGTCTGAATCATCATCCTCTCCATTGGGGATACTTGGTTGTTGTTCTTGGTCATCCTCTTCGTCATCTTCATGAAGAAATGTTGGTGACGGAGCAGCCCTTTTGCGCTGCCTTTGGTACTGGACATTAACATTTGAGGCCCCCCTTGCCATGGTGCTAGCTCTAGGAAAGTTGCGACCTTGCAGCGACGAACTTGCACCAACAGCCTCATCAACAAGCTCCCATGAAATGTCATCGGGACACCCTCGAGCACCTTGGGGTGGAGGTATTGTTGGGTCAACCCACTCATTGCCCCAATCAAAATCCTCAATGACTAGAGGGTCATAGCTATTGCCACCCATCTTCTCACGCCTCTTTTGAAACCTATCCAAGTTCTTCCGGTTGTATGAAACAAAAACATTGTCATTCAAGAGTCGGTGTTGTAACCGGTTCCTTTTCTTGGTATGGATCTACAAATAGCAAATAGAGTGAATAAATAACTTGCTGAGATTACTTGCTGAAACTAACTTTCTCTTGATGAAATAAAGACAAAGAAGTTACTCACATGTTCAAATGCGCTCCAATTCCTCTCACAGCCGGATGATGAAGCACAAAGACTAACAGTACGCTTTGCAAACCTTTGTAGCTCAACTGCCCGACCACCATATGAACGCCACCAATCAACTAAAATGGTAAAATAAACACACACATGCATTAGGAGTTTATACTTTGTACAGAAAATAACAAGCTGAAATTAACTTGCTTGTTGCTGAAATTAACTTTAGTTCACTTACGAGGGTTTTTCTGGACCATGTTATCGATTGCCATCGGATTAGCAAAGGGTCCTCTCTTGTCCTCATAGAGAACAGCTTGTGCATCAATCTTGTTGCGAGTATTGACATCAAGTACTGTTCGTGCAAGGACATCATTAAAACAACTTCTTAGCTCCCCAATTAGGGCATCATCACCACTCTCAGCAATAGAGAAGTATTTTCCAGGGTTCAAAAACAAAGCAGCCCCATATAATGGATGATCCATTTGATTCTCCCAACGTTTGTCAACAATGTCAATGATCTTCTTGAGCAAAGCTTGCTTGTTTTGGTGGGGGAAACCTTGATTGATCTTCTCCTTTGCAAACCTCATTAGTGCTGTCATTTCTGGCATGGCAGGAATCTCATCACCATCCGCTACCCTAAGCACTCGAAGTAGTGGACCTGAAGCTCTAAGGCAGTCCTCAATTGCATGCCACCAATCTGCTGAAAGCACAATGTCTTGCACATTCAAACCGGCTGCAGTTTTGGCCAATTTGTTTCCAACCCATGCTTGACATGTAAATAGACTCCTCAATGCTTGCTTGTGCTTGACCAAACTCTTAAGAGCAAGAATGGATGTGGCAAAGCGAGTGGCTGCGGGTCTCACAAGATCCAGCCCACCCGTTGCCTTCCTCATTAGACTAAGAATTCTGCCATGCCTATAGATGAAAGTGGTGACTCGTCTACCCCGTGCAATAGGCCTCTTAAATGGCTTTAGCTTCCCTATATCTTCCAACATCAGGTCCAAGCAATGGCATGCACATGGACTCCAATATAGTGTAGGAATCCTTTCCATTAGTATCTTACCCGCTGCCTTGTAGTTAGCACCATTGTCGGTGACAACTTGGACAACATACTCTTTACCGACATCCTCGATTCTCTTCTCTAGCAAATCTGCTATCATCCGAGCATCTTGGCATTCACTTGATGCATCAACCGACTCCAAGAAGTAAGTGCCCGCCGGGCTGTTTACAAGGAAGTTGATCAAGTGGCGTCCCCTTTTATCGGACCAGCCATCTGACATTAGTGTGCAGCCATATTGCTTCCATGCTACCTCGTGCTTCACCCTCAACTTTTTTGTTTCCTTGACACAATCCCTAAGCAATGGCTCTCGCAGCTCATGAGGAGAAGGAGGCTTGTAACCTGGGCCATATTGACAAGAGGCTTCTATTGCAATCTGGAATTGCCTACAGCTTGCAACATTGAAAGGAATGCCACACTCATAGAAAAACAATGCCCACTGCATACTCACATAGTGCCTCTCTTCCGGTGTTTTTGTGCTGGACTCCATGGTGCTTTGAGAGCAACCGGAGCGTCTTTCATCGACAACATCCTCAGGTTTCTTCCTAAGCATGGAAACAATTGACTTGAGAGCAACAGATTGACACTTTTTGCCTGATATTTTTACTGCAAAGGCTTTCTTGTTCTTCTTGGCTGCTGTCCCTGAACTTGGTCTTGTAGCGAAGCATTGAGCTGTTGCTTCATTAGTGGAGCTTTGAACTGTCCCTGCTACATCTACCTCCACTACATCATCATCATCATCTGGCTGTCCTATGTTTCTCCTGTTCTTTTCCAAATATTCTAACATCTCCCTCCTAAGCTGTGTGGTAGCCTTTGGACAACCCGTTGCATCCCCACCGGTGCCAGCAAGATGCTCTTTGTGTCTCTTGATCCCTCCTTTAGTTATCTTGCCACAAAGATTGCACACAACATTATTGCTGTTGCCAGGTGTCAACCAATACCCATAATTCCAGCCTGGATCATTTGACCTCCGTGGCCTGCATTCTGGATCTTTCATTGGATCATAAGCATCACCACCCCCATCAGCTCCTGAATCTGCCATTGTGGGACTGCAAAGTGCAAAGTGCAAACAATTAACAATATAATACAGCCATAGAGGGCAGAGCCACAGAGGACAAACAGCTACTATTCTAATAATAAGCTAGTATAAAGAAGATCCACTAACCTACTATTCTAATCAGCTAACAAGGACAATCAGCATATATTTTAATCACAACTTGCAACTAACACTACTATAATAGAGGGCAGTGGGCAGAGGGCAGAGGCACAGCACCACATCTACACATGCATATACTAAACAGAGGGCTAGCTTAGAGGCAAAGCAGTGAGGCACAAGCAGCAGCACCATCAGAAAACATGGGCAGGTGAGGGGAAAAGAGAGGCAGAGAGGAGCCGTACCTTGGGAGAGGGCTGCCGGCGGCCGAGGAGCTTGGCCGGAGAGGGGGATGGCCGACGGAGATGGATCTTGGCCGGAGAGGGGAAGGGCCTGCGGAGGAGGAGCTTGGCCGGACAGGGGGAGGCCGGCGGAGGAGGAACGGATCTGGGCCGGCGGCGTGAGAGACTGAGAGGAGAGAGCTCCTCTCTCTTTTCCCCTCGATTTGGAGTCACAGGTGTGTTCCCCTCTCTCTCCTGCCTCTGTTTACCCCCTCTCTCCCACCCAATTTCTCTTCCCTCCCGCCAATTCCTCTTTCTGGCGCGCGCCAGCTGCTGGTTCCCGCTCAACCTGCCCGCGCATGTCCAGGGCGTCCAAAATCAAGCAAAGCGGCGCCTTGGACGCCTAGGCGACGCCTTGGACGCCTCAACAGCACAAGGCGGACGCCTTAGACAAAAAACTAAAGCGACGGCGACGCCTTGACGTTCGCGAGCGCTCTGACGCCTAGGCGTCGCCTAGGCGACGCCTTGAAAACATAGAGGATCGACAATGCCGGATGATGGAGCGTACTCATCAATTTTGTACCTCGTGCGCCGGTCATGCACTTCACTTACACGAGTCTCGATCCTATGGATCATGTTGGCCATCTGATGGCGCACCCTCAGCTTCTTCAGGCGTTCGGCAGTCTTCTTCAGAAAGCCGGTGGTTGCGCATTTTTGTCCGAGGTCACGCATGAAATCGTCAACGCAGTCTTCAATGTCGTATGACATCTCCCTGACTTGGTCCCTCCACTCCCTGGCCTGAACGTCAAGCTCGTCCATGCCTGCGAGCTTCACAAGCAGATCACTCATGCTACTGAACTCGTCCAGAAGGGACGCCACCTTGTTCCGGACGCCTTTGATCTTGCGGTACTCATCCCCCATCAGCGTGGCGAGCTTCCCGAGGAGGGAGTTCATCACACCGGTGGAAACGCTCGCCATGGTCACCGCCATCTCTTCGCTCCCAGTGCGCCGCCGCACTTACTTCGATGCGTCTGTGTGGGTGGGGGGTGAGGGTCAGATCGCCGTGCTTGCGGGTGGAGAGCCGCGGGGTTAGAAGTGGCGGCGGCGCAGATCGACGATTGAGGCTGGATCCTTAAGAAGGCGAGGTGAGCTCAACCGAGTTAGTTCAACCGCCTAGTGGCTCCATTGCAGGGTGGGGGTGGGGGATGAGAAGGAATCATGGAGCAGATGGATGACTTGTGCTGAAACCTGAAGGAGGCGAGGTGAGCTCGCCGGAGTTGACCGGGATGGTCGCTCCGTTGCAGCGTGGGGCGGGGGAGCGAGGAGGGATTGCAGAGCAGATCGACGACCGAGGCTCAAGGATGCGAGCTCGCCGGAGGTCACCAGATTAGTGGCTCCGCTCTGTTGCAGACTGGCCCGCGCTAGCGACCAGGATGGGGAGTTGGGCGGAATATCAGGAAAAGAATTTATATGAGACCAGGTCTCACGTGAGACCCATCCTGATGGATGACACGTGGCATTTACAAATCACAAAGTATCCTTCACCCCCACTTAAAATCAGGGGAAGAGAGATTAGATGCTTTGTGATTTGTGAATGCCACGTGTCATTTATCAGGACGGGTCTCACCTGCTAATCATGAGACCTGGTCTTATATAAATTTTTTTCGGAATATCAGCTGAACTGGAACACGAGATGTTAATGTGAACGGTCCTCGGAGGATCTCTAGCGGATCCTGCGAAAACTGGCCTGCTCTTAAAATCTCGGTAGTAGAATTTCCGTTTTTTCAGCATAAATAGATCCGCTAAGTGAAGGTTGACCTAAATTTTGGACACCGATAAGTGCCACGCGTGTGGGCGTTAGGAGGTCTGCCCACACATTTTGTGTGGTGTATAAGAGGAACACCCACACACCTACGTGTGGGCAAAACAAGTAATGCACACCCATCTTTTTTTTCCCTCCCGATCCCTCTCACACGCGTGCATGTGGGCAAAATAGATAACGCCCACACGCCCCGTACGTCAGGTCTCGTACCTCATGGTCCCGCACGCCCGCGTGACAGTCACCGCGCGTCCCGCAGTTGCCATGGTCCAGACACTCATCCATGTTCGTTTAACTGTAGTTGCCATGTCGCTGAACTTCGGTTGCCATGTCAGACAACTACAGTTACCATGGTTGCTCAACTGCAGTTGCCATGTATGGTCTGGTCTACTGCGGTTGCCATGATTTTAAAATTTTAGGAGTTGCCATCCACTAACACTAGGCAGTTGCCGTGTAGCACTAAAAAGGGCATGGCAAAAAAACATGTTCGGGTAAAAGAGAGAGTTGACATGTAAAGAGAAAGAGTTGCCATCTACTTACGTGCACGCTAGGGCAGTTGTCATGTACCATGCAAAAACACATGACAACTCGGGTAAAAGAGAGTTGCCATTTGCTTACAAGTAAAGCTAGGGCAGTCGTCATGTACCCTGCAGAAACACATGGCAACTGCCAACTTTGGGTGTGGGCGAGAAGACGGGCGTGTGAGCGAAGTGATAAACGCCCACTGCGTGCGTGAAAACTGGTGTGTGGGCGAATTGCTAAACGCCCACACACCAGCCCCCCCTCCCCCCGTGTGGTGAAAAAGGACGTGTGGGCGACCGGATGATGCCCACACACTAGCTTAGTCCTACGTGGCACATAAAAACTGCTAGAACGCGCCAAGATTCGTGCAGAATTGGTTGGACGAGGATCCATGCATGTGGGCGAGTTGCCAGACGCCCATACGTGTGGGCGTTAGTGTTTTCGTAAATTTTTGATAGACAGCCTGCAAATGCTTCCTTCTACCCATGTATGTACGGGGTCGGCCGGGTTTTAGGGTTAGCAAACCCTATCACCTCCGTCGCAATCCGCCCGCGTCGCCACTATACCTCCCCAACTCCAACGACAAATCACGCCGCTTCTCCTCCTTTTTTTTCTTCTTCATGATGACCGATGGTGCTGACAGGCGTGACGGGCGTGGCGGGTCACCTCCACACAATCTCCCACGGCACGACGCGGAGTCCGGCAGCTCCAGCCAACCCGCCATCTAGCCATGATGCTCGAAGCAAGCACACGACCACACCGACTCTCCCGGAGTGGCGGGTGGATCCCTTGGGCCGGCTTCCACGAGCTTCATGACCAACTCTTTCCGCATTTCCAAAGTTGTCGGGAGGCTGATGTGGAGCTCGTCGCCACGGAGAAGGCTTTAGCGGTTGGAGAAGAAGGCATCATTGACCGTCTTGACGCCATCAAGGAGGAGGACGACCTCGCCAACGCGATTTGCAAGTCCGAGGTGAAGTTCTACCTTGGCGTCGACGAGTGACCTTCGACTTTATGTTTAGTTTGTAGGGCAAAGATGTTTAATTTTCTATGTATGCACTATGGTTGTGATGAACTATTTGCTAGCACGAAGATGTATTTAAATTTGCAGTACGAGATTTACATGATTTGTTCGGCCGGGGCCTTTGCGTTCCCGCAAAATCATTTTTCAGGGAGACCCTAAAACGATTTTGTAGTACCGGATTATAGCAAATATACTAGAGATGCTTAGAGTATCTCCAATAATTTTCTTATCTCTAAATTAACCGTTGTTTACAAGAAGTTAAGGGCAAAAAATCTCTCCAACTGTTCCAGTAAACTGGCCTTAATTTTAGAGGATCCAGTAAAATAGGTCTTTTCTCATCGCAGGTTTACGGGAAGATCACCTTCCCGTATTGGTGGGTTGAAATTTCACCAACTTCCACCCGCGCCCCTGCTCTACCACCGCCACCACCCATTGTCGCCGCGACTGGTGCCTGCCTGCCGCCGGTGTCGGTGTCAAAACCGGCGGATCTCGGGTAGGGGGTCCCGAACTATGCGTCTAAGGTCGATGGTAACGGGAGACAGGGGACACGATGTTTACCCAGGTTCGGGCCCTCTCTATGGAGGTAATACCCTACGTCCTACTTGATTGATATTGATGAATACGAGTAGTACAAGAGTTGATCTACCTCGAGATCGTAATGGCTAAACCCTAGAGGTGTAGCTTGTATGGCTAAGGTAATGAGTATTCGGCCTATCTACGGACCTAGCCCTCCGGTTTATATAGACATGGGAGGGATCTAGGGTTACACAAGGTCGGTTACAGAGAAAGGAATCTACATAGTTGGCCGCCAAGCTTGCCTTCCACGCCAGGGAAAGTCCCATCCGGACACGGGTGCAGTCTTCGGTCTTCATATCTTCACAGCCCATCAGTCCGACCCATGGCTAACAGGCTGGACGCCCGAGGACCCCTTAATTCAGGACTCCCTTAGTAGCCCCCGAACCAATCTTCAATGACGAGGTGTTCGGCACATAGATTATCTTTGACATTGCAAGTCGGGTTCCTCCACTGATGACTTCCGAGTAGTGTGCTCGGCCTTCTGTGCATCAACAACTTCAGTTTCCACGTGTCGAGCGAATGCGAGAGGTCAGGGTATTTTTTTGCATATACCACCCCGACCGTACCACAAAGGTGCTTATTTAAAGAGAATAGATCTCAGATCCATTCCACACCCCGCGAAAAATCCTCAGAGCTTGTTGAGAAGAACCGCTCCAACATGGCTAGCGCTCCCAGCTCTTCCTCTCATCCCCACGACTCCAAAGAGGGTGATTGGGGGAGATGTTCCGTATCCCACAGTCAGCTGGCGAAACTGCAAACACATGGCTTTCTTTCCCCTGCGGACTTGGTCCTCGTGCGAGCAGGGATGACGTCCTTCAAGGGCGGGGCTCAAACGGACAACTTCCCCAATCCGTCTAGGGGAGAACAAGTATGCTTCGTCCCCTTCTTGTTAAGAGGTGTCGGATTTCTGATCCATCCCTTCCTCCGAGGTCTGCTGGAGTATTACGGCCTCCAACTGCACAGTCTCACTCCTGCCTCTATCCTTCATACTGCGGGTTATGTCGCTCTATGCAAGCTATTCCTGGGATGCGAGGCCCATTTTGATTTATGGAGAAGACTGTTCTGCCTCGTCCCTCATAATCAAGGCGGGTCAATTTTTGAAGTGGGAGGATCCGAAGTGTGGCGCATCGTCGGGACCGGATACCTGTCCGGCACGCCGAAGAAAGCTCCCGAAGAGTGGCCTTCCGAATGGTTCTACATCGACAACGTTGCTCTACCCGACCCCGTGCGCATGGGCCTCCCCGAGTTTTCAAATGCTCCACTGAAGAAACGCCATAGCTGGCATCCTCGGAGCCTCGAGGAAGAGGATAGTGCAGAGATCAGCCTGCTGCTAGGCAAGATTAAGACGCTTGCCCAGTCTGGATTGTCAATAGTCGAGGTAATGGCGATCTCTATAACGCGCGGGGTCCAACCACTCTAATACAGAGGGCTGCCCATGTGGCATTATAATGGGGAAGACGATGCCTCATGCTATGGTCGGAAGGGCCCGAAGACCCCCGCCGTCCTGGCCAAAATACTGGCCGAGCTGTATAAAGGGGAGAAGAAGGAGTTCACCCGTCTCCAATATCGAGACGGATTTTCCATGTATAATCCTCCCAGCTGGGTAAGCTTCAGCTCCACTATTTTACTACTGTCCCTGAATCATTCTTGACAGGCAGTATCTTATCCGCTTATAACAGGAATGGCAAAAGGCTGTCGAGGGGATCCATGACCCTGCCCCTCAGTCGGAGAATCGCAACCGGGATCTTGACCCCGGATATGAGGAATATCCGGACATATTTGTGGAGCTCGAGGATGGAATATTCTATCAGATGAGTTATGACGGTACAGATGTACCCATCATCGCCGATTACCCCGGCCTCCTTCCTGCTTCACATGTAAGTAATCCAGAGATACCTTGTCCAAGAGAGTTTTCTCATTTCCCCTTACCCACCGCACTGTCATGTGCTCAAAAGGGGAAGCGTTCGGTGCGCCACGCTGCCCCGGGGGCATCTCCGAAGAGAGCGTCCCCCACACCAGGCAAGCCTTCGAAGAGGAAGGCAAATGAAGATA